TCCCTCTCCTCCCCCAGAAATAGTAAAGGCAGTATCCAAACTGCTGCTTTAAAAACCACATAGCAGCCAAAGAAAAGTTCTCCCTTTCCAGCTGAGCTAGGAGAGCTTGCTGTAAAACCCACATTCCCAGTATCTCTGATAGCAGTATTACAGAAATTCCTACTGGTAGGTCAACATATTTTCACTGTCCCCCATCAAAGCTTTGCTCTCTCTATTTGATTCAAATGATTGATTCTGCCTTTTCAGACTCTCAAAGTTTCCTTACTCTGGGCTTGTACAAATCCTAATGGCCTTTTTTTCATTTCAGGGAAGATGCTAGACACCAAAAGAATAAACTGAGTGAGCAGGTGCACGTGCTAACTAAACTGTTATTAGATAAAAGATGTAGAGTTACCAACTTGTCTGTAAGGCACTGCAGAATCAAATTACAGCAGCTATTCAGGCTGGAAGTACTCAGCTAGCCTGCGCATTATCTTAAGGCTGGAACATGATTGAATAGTCATTTTCTGAAGAGCAAAATAACTTGCTTGACATGGGATTCTTTTCTTCCCTTTCTTGGAACTCGCTCAATCACATTAGCTTCTTTTATGCCTAAATGGGATGGTTTTAGGTTATGAAATGTGATTGTTCACACTGGAATAATAACGCTAGGAATCTAAGTCTATTTAGTCTTTAAAGCTGATCAGCTTATCGCTGTCCAACACAAAGGATTCAGAAATCAGATATCTGGAGGAGCTGAATACACTGAAGAAATGGTAAGAGATTCAAAGCTAACGGGGTGGACTTGACTAATTCTCTCAAACTCGAGATTTGGTCCTGGCTTCAGTAAATTATGTCAGGCAGGAAAATCAGCGTTCCCTATTCCTGTGTTTCCTAGGAGGGCAGCATCTCCTCTGGTGTCTATTTCATCCTCATTCTCCCTCCATCTGATCTTTTGTCCCATCCTTCCGTCTCCATTTTCACTGACTGCTACTTCTGTTCTCGTAGCAGTGATTTCAGGGCTCCTCCCGTGATGATTCCTCCTGTGCTGCACCCATCAGTAGTTATGCTGCTGTTCAACAAAATGTGTCGTTTTCTCAGCTCCTCGTGCCTGTATGCAAGCAAGGGCAGTAGGCCAGCAGAGAGAAAGGCAGAACACTGAGGTACATGCAATTCTGGACCCTAATGTTGGCACTAAGATGAGGAAGGAAACAGGCTATCATTTTGCTCTTGCAGTGCTGAGCAGGATATGAAAGAGACCTGCATGCAAAGTCACTCCATTGCCCCAGTCCTCCCACCTGTCCCATGCCCCAGGCCCTCTCACACACTGGCTTCAAAGCAAAGTGTAATGACTCTAACAGAAAATACGCTAGAGTCAAATGAAAACTATGTAAATATGTCCAATATTATTACATGAAAGAAAATTTGTTATATCAACATTGCTTTCAATAGTAGGATGCAGACTGAGTTAAGAACCTTGTGGATTGATATTTTCCTCTGCTTCTCCCTACCTTTTTTCCCTCCATTTCCACTCATCATTTCTGCTCATGTATTTCATGCAAAGGCGAAGAACCAAAAAAAGACACCAATGAGATTGTTCAGCTGCCAAATTTAAATCACCATCTGAATATAATCTGATTTTTCACTGAAGATATGAAAGTTTGAGGTTCAGCTGGGCTGTGGAATGGGAAATGTCCCAAAAGCTTGCAAGAGGCTACCAAAGGGAAAAATACATACTGTCTGTACAGAAATAGTAAAAACATCAGCTGCGCATTCTCAGTTGCCTAATCTTGGAGCAATCAGACAGAATTCTCTTGAAATACCAAAAGATGCACAAAATATCTTAAAATATAGCAATAGCAAAGTATGTTTAAAAGGGTGCTAAAGGTAATTGAACAAAAATTGAGGTTTTTTCCTCAGTAAATCTTTTCAACATTCTCGTTCATTAAGCATATGTTGCCCTCAACAGTAATGAGGTAACAGCGGAACTGTGGGCAGTGAATGTTCTGTTTCACATTTCCTGGCCCAGGTTACAGGGAACATAACTGTTATCATTAGCATTTGTCTTCCATCAACATCTGTATTTTTTTTCTTTTTTTTTATTTGTTGTTGCTGTTGTTTTGTCTGTTTTTGACATACTGTCCTCCAGGAAAAGCAAATGACAAATAAGATCAGGACGAGGTTTCATCTAATAACCCTTTTGGTTATTCTTCTTTTGGGGCATCTCACTAAAAGTAATGTGTTCCCAAGGGAAAGGATAACGATGTGTTCAAATGCTCCCAAGGAGATGGCTGCTGCCAGATAACCAACTGATTTTTCCCTGACTCACTGAAACATTCTTTTCTGAAGGTTCAGGTGTTGTTTAGATCAGAAAGATGTTCTGGAGGGCAAGGCAGCTGAACAGTCTTTGAACAGCCCTTTTTTTTTTTTTTTTTTTTTTTTTTCTGATCCAAACCAAATCATTCTGAATATGATTAAACGTCAATGCATAACTACGGAATTGATGGGAGGTGGCAGGTTTTGCATTTGCAAGTAAGAATTACTTGTTGCAACACTAGATAAACAGGCTACACTGCATTGTAGAAGTCAACTAGACAGAGCCCTCAGTGAATTTGATAGCAAATAGTTTTTTAGATTCATAATGAGTTTGATTTGGATCTATGTAGACAACAAAAACTAGTCCAGGTAAAAGATTTAGATGGTATCAGTTCTCATCAGATAGGACTTCCTATCAACAAGAGATAGTCACAGTTCAAAATGATTTTTCCTTCTTCATGGTGGATTAAGCATAGAGATGAAAGGTTCCATCATGTAAAAGTGTAAGAAATTCTATTTACCATCAGGAATGGGCTCCACCAAACGAAGGAAAGCATAGAAAAAGTAGAAATTTTGGTAGTAACTCTTTGCCCTGGTCCTAGTTTTGGAAATCAACTTTCGATACCAGGGTTTAGAACATCAAATGCTACAACAAAGTTTAGCAAATGTGTTTTATATGAAAGCAAATCTTCTGGGGGAAAAAAAAATAAATCAGAAGCTCAGGAATGAAAGGATGCAAGATTCCTAAAAGCACAGGTAAAGATACAGGTTGCTAGTAGCCTATGAATTGTACTGTTAGTTATGCTCCCTTGGACATGAACTGATTTTGAGGAGGAAACCAAGGGATATGAGTGTCATACACATCAAGCCTAAATTATTCCTCAGTATAAATTTCACTGAAACAACAGCACTTCATTTGTCGGTTAACCCAGATTAGTCTGTTAGCTTTTCCAATAACGTTAGCAAGACATGTACTTTGAGAGCCATTTCATATTACCTTTGCCTTTTTTCCATGAATTGTCCTGAGGAAATGTGATCTCAGCATGTGTTATTTTCCTGAGTCTGTGCATGCTTTTCACTGCCACTGCTCTCATCTAGTAGCAAGAAGTGCTGATAATTACCCTGCTCAGTAATGTGTGTACCTGAGAGAAACTTCTCAACTTGGTAAGCTGCTTAGGTCATACATTTGGTTCTTACAGATTTGTGCAGTCTTTTTGGTGACTATGTGGCTAGCCGTGTGTCGTAAGAAATCCTAGGCTCCTTTATTAAGTGTTACCTGGATTATTTTATTTCTCATTTGTGTTCAGGAGGTTCAGTATTGGGTAGGTCTGTGTAGGAAAGACCCACCATTAAATTCTTGCCTCCTCTTCAAGACATTGAGTATCGTAGACTCCGTGGTGTTTTTGCTGTGTCCACACATTACATGAATGCTGCATTTATTGACCAGTCTGCACTACTGCCACTATTAAATTCAATTGTAAATGCTTTAACACACTGGTGGCCACAGTGCGAAAGGTGAAATATAAACCTCACATCTCTCATCAAGATTATTACCCTCAGTGGTTGTATGCTTAAATGTTCACAGCTGAAGCAAAACAAAGATAAGGGTGTTTGCATTTGTGTGTTCCCAGTTTGAGCAGTAATTGACTACCATAAACTGTATCGGCTTGTGATACAACAAGCTCTTTACAAGCTCTGATGCTGTCCTTCTGTCTTGGAACCGTCGGTCCGGTATTATCATAAAGACATTTTCACCAAGAGAGCAACTTGAAACGCCTGGTGGAGCTTTCAGAAGCAGCATGTGATGGCTGTGGCACGCAGTAATAAGATGTGGGCTCCATTTTCTGCTTCAGAGCACTGCCATTTTTGGGGAAGGGTCCTTGCACTCCCACCGCCACTTCGGGAGCAGCTGCTGGGCACAGCACTGCCTGCCGGCCCCGGCTCCTCAGCTGGATGCTGGGCTGCAGGCAGAGGCGTCTCCCCGCACACCACCTGCCATTCCTGCTCCTCCATCGTTGGCAGCAGAGGACAGGAGCGGCTCAGGGCACTCGCAGGCCGCGGCCTCGCAGCCAGAGCCTCCCTCACTTAACGCGCGGTAGATAAAGCGTGAGGGGGTGGCAGGTCAAGACCCAAATATGGCGCTGAAGATATTTTTAATCAATTTGAAAACCAATTATTTTCACTTTAACAACGGCAGACACAACTTTATCGGGCGAAAACGTGACTTTTCATCCAGCAGCGGGTGTACCGGCGCTACTGTTGCTTTGCTCACGGAGAAGGAAGCGCCGTGGCTGCCGACGGCGGCATCTCCGCACGGCGGTCGTTGGGCGCTGTGCAGCACCCGCCGCTAGGGGGCGCTGCGGCGGCGTTGGGGCGGGAGGCGGGCCGCGAGCCCACGTCCGAGTTCCCAGGGCGACGGGCGGTCGCGCCGTGACGTCAGGGTGTTTCCCGGTGACGCCGCGGCGCAGGCGCGGCGAGCGCGGCGGCGATTCTGGGTGACGTCACGGGCCGGGCGTGACGTGCGGTGGCGCGGGCCGCCGGGAGCCGGCCGGGATCTGCGCTCGCCCCCCTCCCCCTCCCACTACGGGTCGCGGCTGGGGGCGTCCCGGCGGCGGGGACGCGGATCCCCCCTCCCCCTCCCTCGCCCCTGCGCTTCGATCCAAGATGGCGGCGCTGAGCAGCGGCGGCAGCGCCGAGGGGGCCTCGCTCTTCAACGGGGACGCGGAGCCCGAGCCGCCGCCGCCCGTGCTGGGCGCCTGCTATGCCGGGAGCGGTGGCGGCGACCCGGCCATCCCGGAGGAGGTAAGGCCGAGCGGCGGCTGCCGCGGGTCCCCGCCCCCTCCCGCCTCGCCGGAGCCGGCGGCCGCGGCCCGTACGGCGGCGGAGGGGATCCCCGCTCGGGGGAGGCCCCGGCCCTCCCCCTCCTCTCCGCTGGCGGGCAGAGCGCGGCGGTCTAGGGGCGGAGAGGCTCGGCGCCGCCGTCCCGCACCGAGCGCTCTGGCTGGGGCTGGCTGCCCGAGCGGGGGTGGCGGGATGGGGCTTTCCCTGGCCCTCGGTGGGGGCATCGCCCGCCCGCCCGGCCGGCTTGGAGAAGGGCGGCGGGGGCACCGCTCCCCGTGCTGTCACACCGCGAGTTACCGAGGGCACGGCGTTCGTGGAGCTGTTCTGTAGTCGCTTGGCCCGGGCGGTTTTGAAGCATTTGAAAAAACAGGGTTCGGTGGGGTTTGTTGTTGGCTTGCGTCGCGATTTGTGCACGAGGAGCGTTAAGAAACGCCAACGGACAGCGGCCGTGTGGGTGCTGGGGGCGGCGGGCCCCCATCTGCGGCCCTGTGATGGGCTTCCTGTGCTGCGGGGCACCTCGCTTCACTTCCCAACCCCGCACGGAGCAGCGCTGCCTGTTCCGCGGAGGTTGAAGCTTGAGACGCTGGCGCTTCTGAAGCGTTCTCGGGAGGTGGGTTACGATGTGCAGTGGCAACACCGGCTGTTCTGCAGTTCTGAATGCTGTAGGCACCGAAGTCTCATCTATTTGCCACATATTGTACGTCAAGTCTGTTTTAGAGGTAAATACAGCTGCTGGAGACTATGCTTCTTCGTTCAGGGCTTTGGTCGCTGAAGGCCGCTTCAGCTCAGCCTTCCCGAGCTGGGTTTGTGTGATCCGTACAGCTCTCTGAGCCCTGAGCAGCACTGCTGCCCTGGGACAGCCTGTTTTCTGCCCCTGCCTCTGCTTGGAGAGGTGAGCAGGCCTTGGGCCTCGACTCACCTAGAGGTCCCATTTGGCTCTAGCTCATTGGATAATAATGCCTTTTCTGTATTAATAGCATTGTGGTATGGCATGGAATTCGTGTGCTGAGAAGTTTGGCAAGCACTAGGGCTCGTGCTGAGTAGGTGGCTAGGGAGGAGAAAAGGGAAGGAGGCTTCCGCTGTTGATGCTGTTGAGAACTAAGACTTGCCCATCTTTAGAAGCTACCTGCTCACCTTGCTGAAGGAAGGCAAAGCTCAGCACTGTGCTTGTATTTTGCACCTCAACAGCAAGATGATTAAATGCTTTGTGTAATGTGAGTGCACTCTTAACTTTCCTGAGTAAGGAGAAACTCTTTGCTGATTGGGAAACCTAAATACCTAAAGACTGGACTTTAACAGATGCTTTCTTTCAGAAGCAAAACGAGTTTAGAAAGCGTCTCACTGGCTTTTATTGCCCTGATCGTGCTGGTGCAGCTCTATGTGGAAGTGAATTGCTGTGTTGTTTCCACCATAAAAAATAATGTAAATATCTGTGGAATCGTTAGAGTGACTGGTTTATTTTGTGGTCCTGGAATCAGTTATTGTAATACAGCTGAGTGGGGTAAATAAACTGCGGTGCATGGGAGAGGAGAGAGGAAAACAGTGACATGATAAAGGAATTATTCAAATCTCTTTTTCATACCAGAAGAGATGTCACTTGAACTTCAAAATTGCTTGTGTGGGACATTAGATTTCACTTCAAATGCAAAATTACGCAGTGAGGTTTTTTGTTGGTTTTGTTTTTGTTTTGGTTGTTTTTTTGTGTGTGTGTTTTTTTGTTTTTCCCTATTGTATGTTACATCTCTGTATGAGAAAGAAAGTGAAGCAGCCTGCTGCCTGGCACGTGTGCCAGCTGGAGGGCTCAGTACCTCTCAAGTATGGGTGCATAAATGCACAATTAAGGAGTGCGTGGTGGTGTTAATGTATTTTGTTCAAGTTTTTGCTTTCTATACATTGGAAATAATGAAGCACGCAGGTCTGAGGCAGAGCTGGCGCTAGAGCTTTTATTTTTTGATGTGGTTTTGTTCGTCAGTTAGCTAGCTCTTCCTCAAGTCTTAGGTAATTACCCTTTGTTTGCAGTATATATATTACGCCATCTAAAACCTGTTTTAATAAAGCTTGAGAGCAAATAATTGCTGATCAAGTTGAAGTGAAAACTATTCTTAATACAAAAACAAGTCAGCGTAACCATAATACAGATGCAAGGTGACATAAGTCAGAAAATTCTGAAGTACTTATAACTGACTCATGTAAGTGTGTGTTTTGGTGTTCTGTTTCCCCTCAAGAGAATGTAAATCTAGGCTTTAAAAGTAACGTTGCTGTGAAAGCGCGTCAAGGAGCACAACTTCACGTATTTAGAGGAGGCACCTAGAAGGGCTTTGGTTCCATAGTTCCCTCTGCAATCTTTAAGGAAATGCAGTCCTGATTTCCAGGAGGAAAACCTTCCATTCTGTGCTGTTTGTAGGTGTAAGAGGAGGGCGGACAAGGAGAATCTTTGCTAGACCTTACAGCAGGCAAACGCAAACGTGTCACTGAAATCCTATGGTAAAAGAGGTGTTCTGTGTCAAGATCATAAACGAATGTTGGTTAAGACTACATCAGTATTGCTAACGAGTTCAAGGCTTGGAGTTGTGACAAACCAATTTATGGCATATCATTCAACTCGTGGCCAGTTTTGAATCGAATAATGAATCTAGTGCTTCAGGAGCTGCCCTTGCAGCATAACTGCTGATACTAAAATTCTTCAGATAATGAAGCTGTTACGTAAGAGTGTAGTAACTGCAAAGGCATTTTTTCTACATTGAATCCAAGTTTAGGAAGAGTAGTTTCACACACAGATGTAAGAACATTATGTTTAGGAAATAAGTCTTTTGCAGGGGCATAAGGATTTGATAAGAGCAGGGGCAAGTGAACTGGGGGAAAGTGTCCTCTTCTGCTCACCGTTCTCTGCCTGGGGGAAGCCTGGCTCTTACCCTGTGATTCTCAGGACAAGAGATTGTTTGGATGGAAGGCTTTTAGAGTGGTGTAGGGTTGTTGATACAGTAGTGTGCGTGACAGCTGGAAGAAAAGGCTCTGTTCTTGTTGCTAGAGATTATTTACACCATTATTAAATAATTCAAATGGGATTTTCTGTACTTGGAGCTTTGTGCCCTGAAGTGCTTTTTGAAGACAAAAATGACTGAAAGTTGTGAAGTGAGGCTCTGAGCTCTTGGGCAACCGATGGCTTTCTAGGTGGCAGTGCTGGAGTTGATCTGGTGTAAATATTAATTGTGTATTCAGAAACCTTAATCTGACAAAATAGATTTAAGAGGGAAAAGAAAATTTAGCATGAGAAGGTACCTCTAACCTGAAATGAAATAACTGGTGGGCTCTCCTGAAGCAATCCTGTTGGTACGCTAAGAAAAGTCAATGTTCTTTTCCTCTCATTGCTTTCGTAGTTTAGAGAATATGTTTTCGGTTTGGTCTCAGTTATGTTTTGTTGCTTTTGTGTTTAGTGACAGATTTAACTTTATGGTTGGTGAATGGCCTTCTATTTAATTGTGAGAACAGGTTAAACTTTGGGTATGAGATGCTTTGTGTCCAGCCAATGTTGTGCAGGCGTGTATCTCAGAAGATAAGTGCGGTGTTTTTTTGCACAGCAGAAGCGAAGTCCTTACCTCATCGTGCTGTCTGACTTTGGGCTGCAGCTTCGAGTAGATGCTGTAGCTGGGGAGAACCTAGAGGAGGGTAGCAAGGGAGATGTGAGGTCTAGCAGATCAGATCTTTGGGGAAAGACTGAAAAACAGAGGGCTGTTTTTGTTTCTTTAAAGGAGTGGGAATTGTCAAATTTGATGCAAAAAAAAGACTGCAAATAGTTTGTTCTCCGGAGTCATGGTTATTGCTGCCAGAAGTAGTGTGTTTAAATGGTGACAGAGGAGGTCGTTTTGAGTTACACAGTTTTCTTTATGGCTGGGGATAGAAGCATGAAAATAGATTTTCTTAGCTAACTTATACAAGTGCCCATTAGTAGATTCTGTCAGTTGCACAGGCAAATATATTTCAGGAGTGGTGGAAGATAGTTGATCCAGGTATAGGGAAAGCAGTGATTCAGAACTCATCTTCTTCCATACACTTCTATGGTTCACTCTTGGCAGGGCAGATTGAATGCTAGAATGTAACCTTGAAATACTTGAGTTTAGTGGGGATGTTAAAAAGATTCCTGCTGATGATGGTTTTTTTTCCCCCAGAAGGCAATGGGATTAACAGCTCTGTCCTGCAGTAGTTTGTTTGATTACACAGAACTTGCTTATTAGAGGAGTATATTTAGAAAAGCTTTGGTGTCTCAGGGATTGCTTTCTACCTGTGTGGATATCCACAAATTGGTTGGATACAAAGTGTGTGGCTGTATTTTTGTGAATGTGTGTTAGTACTTGAGCTCTTAGGCTTTTTCTACTTGTGGTAGTTGTTGAACTGCGAAGTGTCTCTTTTAATGCTGTTCTAATAATATCTTTCTTGATGCTTGTTGTAGCCAGGAAAGGCAGTTCTTTTGTTGCATGCAGTTGGCCAGATGAGAGAGCTCCCCTATTCTGCTTTGCTTTGTTATTTTTTAACAAGTTTATATCTCAGTTTTATTAATTGTCACACCAATAGAAAAGTTGCATGAAAGATTTAAAGGTGAATTTTGCTTAGGAGGGAATAGGATTTTGTATGTACTTGCAAAAGAGATAAAAGAGGGTTTCACAGTATGAAATGGATAGTTCAAGTCCAGCCTTACGTAGAACCTACAGGTTTTTCTCAGAGATGCTTTTTGAATTTTTATGTAGCACATTTCAATCTGAACAACCTGCTTGAAGAGCAGCAGTACAGTAGAAATGCCCTGTCAGAACGGTACTCCTGGATGACGAACGCTGCTCCCTGTGGCTGTGGTACATCAGGCAGTGCCCTGCCACTGAGAGGGGCACACGTGGCCATTTTGTGTGCCTCCTGCCGTGTGCTCAGCCAGATCCGTGCTGTGCCACGTGAGCACCACGTACAGCCTTCTG